TCGAGTCGTTTGGGTTTTTAAAAACAAAACCGGAAACGTTAAATAACAAAACAAACGTCAAAAAAAAAAAAAAAACGAAAATCAATCATTGTCACATCGATAATTTTACATTCGCTAATCAGATTTAATTCGCGCCTTTTTTTTGGCACATTTTCCACGATTCTCATTCCAGTAGAACAACAACAACAACAACAACGTAGGTAGGAAATGAAAACGTTTCAACTTGTCAAATTACAACCCAAAAAAAAAAAAAGTAAAAAAATTTATTACTCGTAATTATTTAAAAAAGGGAATATAAGTCGTTGATAAAAAAGAAAAAAAAACAAACAAACAAACACTCGGGATTTGTCGTCATCATCATCATCATCATCAAGAAAATTTAACTAATTTTACATGCGTGACATTTTTGTACAAATAGAAATCCAACAAGGAAAATCCGAAAACGAAAAACAACCTCAAATAAAATTTATTATTCTTCATTACCTAAATCCTTTCGCTTTTTATGTTTGTTTAAGAAACAAACGAAAATTTTTTTTTTTATTTGTAATTTATTTTTTTCCTGAAAAAAAACTCAAAAATTTTCTTCTTTCTCCTTTACCCTCCCTCTCACTTCCCTCACCCCCGCAAAAAAACCTTATCAACCTTCCTTATTATTATTATTATTATTATTATTATTATTATTATTATTATTATTATTATTATTATTATTATTATTATTATTATTATTATTATTATTTCAAACAAAAAGAAACGCACGTATACACGATTACGTAATTAATTAAAAAAATTTTCCTAAAAAAAAAAAAAAAAAAATGGAACGACCTTAAAATTCTGTTTGTTGAACAACCAACCAAACGACAACCGTTCGACCCAGTCTTTCATCCAAACATAAAACAAAAAAAAAAATGTTTACTCATAATTTAATAAAAAAAAAAAATTTTTCCCTAAAGAAAGTAATAATAATAATGATAATAATAATACATATTTATTTATATAAACGTCCCGATTAATTATAATTTATCACTAGTATAATTATAAGCATTAGTTTTAATTAATTTTTTTTTTTTAAAGGGGGTAAATAATTAAGATAATAAATTACCCTTTTTAAACGTATAATAACCGTTCGAACGTTTTTTTTTTTTTCCACCGCAACATAAAAAAAAACTTACGAAATTATTACCGACAAAAAATAAAAAAATTTTTGTTGTCACATAAAAAAAAAACGATCGAAATTTTTTCCGGTAATTTTTTTAGGAAAAGTCGTCATTAATTAGTTTATCTTATTTGAATAGGTATTCTCCCCTTCCCCCTACCCAAAAAAAAAAAATGGCCGTCGGCGAGAAACAAAAAAAAAAAAAAGAAAAACAGAGGACCGTAATTTAATTTAATTTAATTGCACTTAATTCAAGTTTGTTTTAATTCGAAAAATGTGGAGGAAAAAACGAACAAACAAAAACAAAAATTATTCGTGTTCGAACATGTTTAATATTGTGCTGATGACGTAACAAGGTAATAAAAATATGTAAAAGTTGTAAACATTTTAATAAAATGTTTAATATTATTGATAAAGGCGGAAAAACAAAGGAAAATCGTTTTTGACTATTCGTTCGGCTACCCGTTTGCACCCGTTTGTCTGCTTTTCCTTCCTCAACAAACGAAAATTTTCCTTTTTTTTATTACTTTTTAATTTGTAATTAATAAATTTAACTCGAGTGATTTCAAGTCAAATTTTTCATAAAGATAATAAAATAGTTTATAATTCAGTTAATTTACCCTTAACGTTCTTATAATTAAGACCCTGAGAACTTCCCTTCCAGTAAATAAAAAAAAAAAAAAATGGCGGTAATTTGGTTGCTTTGATCTACAAACAACGTAAAAGCTTTTACGAGAGTTTTTTTTTTTTTTTATATTTTACTACTTTAAATCATATTTTTATTTTATACGTCTCGTACGTGTCGCGACGATGACGTTTTTCTTTTTACCTTTTTACCTTTTTTTTTTTTTTTTTTTTTTTTTTACCCATAACCAAAAACCGACTTTGAAAAAAAAAAATGTCAAACTTCCTCTTTGAAGATGAAGAAGGTCTTTATTACACTTTTTTTAACAAAAAATTTTAAAAAATCGATCGAAATTCTTCATTAGTCGTAATGTTTTTTTTTTTTTTTTTTTATACTACGATACGATTTTATGACTTTTCAATTTGTAAATTTACTGTTTCGATCGTGATCGCAGTCAGTGGCGTACGTAGGAAAAAAAACTAAAAAATCGTTTAAAAAACTTAGCATTCACGTAATAATGTGAGTAAATACAGCTTTTCACATATTTTCCCGCTCGAAATTTTAATACCCCGCTTTCAATTTGAAATCAAATCATCCTCCTCCTCATCATTATTATTATTCTTCTTCGTTAAATTCCCGATATTATTTAGCGGTGTTATCCCGTGATTATCAATTACAAAAATAATATCAAATATCAAATATTTTAACCATCTAATTAATATAATCGAATCAATATTGTTTGTTGAGATTTACGAGAATCAAATACGTGATTACGTATAAAAAAAAAAAAAATAACGGTTTTACGTATGTAAATCATGCAATTATTAAAACAAACATGGCGGAAAATTAAAGCGAGAAAAAAAATGAAATTGTAAAACCCCCCCCCAAAAAAAAAAAAAAAACAAGAAAATTTTCCAGCATGAAATGAACGTATGATAAAAATCCAGGAGCGCAACAATTTTTTTTTTTTTTTTTTTAATTAAGTGTAAGAGTGGTTAAAGCATGCAATTATTATTATTATTAATAAATTTTTTAATACGTGGAGGAAGGGGAGGGGGAAATAAGCGTAGATTCCTCGCAATAACCCTTCCCTTATTTTTTTTTTTTATAAAGGTCAATTAACCTGAAAGCGAGAGTTCGTCAGGCATTCCGAATTTTTTTTTTTTGTTTTTATTTTTTATTTTGTCGCCATTGTTTCGAAAATAGGACTATGAAAACGACTCGGTATTATTTGAATAATTAAAAAAAAAAAGGTAAAAGTTCATTAAATTCAAACCTGATGAGTTGTACGAGGCGAAAAGATGGTGACATAAAATAAAAGCAGAAGTCGAAATGTTGGGGGTGGTAAAAGTTGCAAGAGTGGTAGCAAGAGTGGTAGAAATGGTAAAAAGTAGCGAATAAAAAAAAAAAAAAAACGGTAACGAAAGCTCACTAACATTCCCCCTCCCCCCTCCCCCCGATTAGTTTTCGTGATGTAAATTTTTTTTTTTTTTTTTTGGGAAGGAGAGAAAGGGGATTTACCTCGTTTCGTTTCGTTTTTTTTCTTTTTTTTTTTTGCACGCAATTATTTTTTCAAAAAGTTATTTAAATATATGCACGGGATAAATATTCGCAAAACAAAAAAAAAAAATGACGTCATAACGAACGAAAAGAAAATTATTATTATTATTATTATTATTATTTCCCTCTTCTTAATCGTAACAATTTTTTTTTTCCACTACCGATTGCATTTACTATATAAATTATACGTTTGACGCTTTTTGTAACGTGCATACACACACGCATACACGCACTCACGCACACAAAAGTGCATATTCGTATACATATACATGTAAAATCAACAATAATCTCTCAAGTTCTCCCCACTTTTTTTTTTTTTTTTTTAATAAATATTTCACCATTTTATTTATTACGTAATTTTTTTTTTTTGTTTAGTCGAAAGTAATAAAAATAAAATCTGATAAAAAGGTTTTAGCATGCAAAAGTTTAAGTTGAACTTAAATAAAATAATTAATCTTAACAATAATAAAATAAATAAACAACTAAACTGTATGGAAAACTTTTACGATCGTAATTACCCGATTAAGACTTTCTTCGTTTCATTATTATCATTATTATTATTATTATTATTACTATTATTATTATTATTATTATTTTCTTTCTTCTTATTCGTCTTTCTTAATTTTTATAAAATTAATGATGATGCTGTTTTTTTTAAAAAATTAAATCTCGTGTCGCGTACCGAGTAAAAAAAGTATTCGTTTCGGTTTGTTTGACGCATTTTTTTTTTTTTTTTTAAATGCGTGATGATAATTAACGATGCGTAAAAAAAAAAAAAAACATTTCTCCCCCTCTCCATTGCGCCCCATTGAATTTTTAAACGGGTTGGAAGGGGAAGGGGGGAGGAGAGGGGGAAAAGGGAAACAACAACAATGGCCGAACTAAACGTCCGGCTTATACGTGATAACATCCGGTTAATGCTTATCGTTAATAAAAAAAAAAAATAAAATAAAATAAAATTCATAGCGAAGCGTGATAATACAGGGAATAAGGTTAACTTGCAACAAAACCGGAAATGCAATAAAAATGCGTTTTAAACGGGGGAAAAAAAATGAAAGAAAAAAAAAGAAAAAAAAAATTATTCAAAATAAAATTAAGTAAAATAAAATGTTTTTTTCTGTTTTTTTCTTTTTTTTTTTTTTTTGATAAAATTTAAATTGATAATTAAATATCACTTATGAATTCGTAATAAAAACAAAATAATAATAATAATAATAAAATTTATTATTTCATATTTCAATAGCATGCTTCCTTTTTTTTCCTTTTTTTTCCTTTTAAATAATTTACCAATTCGTTAAATTATTCACGGGGGTAAAAAAAAAAAAGAAAAAAAAACAATGGAAATCACAAAAACGAGTAAATAAATATTAAATAAAAGAAAAAAAAATCAAAACGGGTGGTTAATTGCAATTTTATGCGAAAGCTTACGCTAACCAAATAATAATAATAATAATAATAATAATAATAATAATAATAATAATAATGAAAATGTATTCGAACACGAATAAATTATTATTATTTTATTACTTTTCGTAATTTTCATGCTGTTTTTTTTTTTTTGTATATCGAACAATCGAGTCTTCGATAAGAGAGAGAGAGAGAGAGAAAAATAAAAATTTTACGTTGGCAAGCCTGAAAAATAATTTTTTTTTTTTTCCAGAACATTATCACATATTCGTTGGTGATCTGAGTCCGGAAATTGATACGCAAACCCTTAGAGATGCATTTGCACCGTTTGGAGAAATTTCGTAAGTTTTTTTATTTTTTTTTTAATTATATATTTTAATAACCTAACGAAGCGATAGTGCGTGAGTGCGTGAGTGCGTGCGTGTTTTTCTCACCCCTAACACATCGTAAATAACAAACAACTTCCGAAAACTTATCACAAATGTTCTACTTTTCCCGTAAAAATAAAAAAAAATTTATGAACGATCAAGCATTCGATATTTTATAATGACATATCGAAAACAAAAAATATAATAATAATAATAATAATAATATTAAATATCATGTTTATAATATTTTCATAAGAGATAAAATTACGTTAAAAAAAAAAAAAAAAAAACAATAATAATAATTATTCTTTTTTTTTTTTTTTTCGTTATACGAAGGTTATATTTTTTTTGATAAGTTGGGTTGTGCCCATTGCGTGACCCATTTCGGCCTCAGAACACCGTAATTTATTCCAAATAAACCTTTTATTGAAGAAAAACATGACATTAATCACAATTTTTATGTATTTATACGTACGTACGTACGTATACATGTTATACCTTAAAGTCATTTTTACATCGCCATTTTTTTTGGAAAAGAGAGAATGGATGTTGTAATGTTATAAAAAAAGGAAATAATTATTCATTTTTTTTAACGGTAATTTTTATATCCCTACCACTCTTATCCCGTTTTTTAACTCTTTCCTCTCTATTTAAAGATTATGGAAAAACCGTTAAATAATAATAATAATAATAAACGACAAAATATTTCGATGAGAATGATAATATGTGGAGTTAAAAATTTTATTTTTTTTTAATTAATTACATTATGTTAATTCGAATTGATTTTGAATAATTAAATTACGAGTTTTTTGCACGAATTCCACACGTTTTTTTTTTTTTTTGTTTTTATTATCGATTTCGAAGGTAATCAATCATAAATTGTCGTTGTTTTCTCTTCCTACCTCTCCCTCCCTTTCCTCCCACCTTCCCACCTACCCCTGTACCTCCCTAACTTCCCGCCTTTATTTTTCAAATGCGAAAAATCATAATTGACATCGTTACCTGAATTGTTGTTAACAAAAAAAAAAAACTTTTCACGAAAAACAAACGAAACAAACTTTTTTTTAATATAAAAATAGACAGAGAGAGAGAGAGAGAGAAAAAATAATAATAATAATAAATAATTGCGTATTGTTTTGTAAAAAATAATAAATAATTTATTCCAGTTTAATAATTTGCTGGAAATAATTAGAAAATGTAAAATAATTTTTTTTTTTTAAAAAAAAATGGTAAATTTAACAGTAATAATCACTTTCATTTAAACTTTCGAGTTGTTATGTCGCTTATAAAACAAACAAACAAACAAACAAATTAAAAAAAATAAAAATAAAAGTGTGAGAAAAATACAAAAAAAAAAACTCGTTCCAGAAAATTACTTATATATCCAGGATTTTTTTCTTTTTTTTTACATCTTATATATATATATATATATATATATATATGTATTTAATAATAATATTTTCAGAGATTCCAGAGTCGTAAGAGATGCACAAACGCTCAAATCAAAAGGATACGGTTTTGTTTCTTTCATAAAAAAATCCGTAAGTACAACAACAAAAAAAAAAAAAATTTTTTTTTTCACTTTACAATTGGGATTAAATTTTTTTTTTATTATTTATATATTGTTCTCTTCTTTTACCCCCCACTTCCCCCTCTCCGCCTGTTAAATTTTCAAAGGTGTACGAAAAACAATAACAAAACTTTTTTACTGCTGCATTAAACGACACACAGAGAGAGAAAAAAAAAACAAAAAAAAAACTGGAAAAACTTTCGCTCATATACATATATAAAATTTAATTTACAAATGGTGCACGCGGACGGACCAACAGAATGCATAAAATTAATTAAAAACAAAAGCGTAATTTGCGATCGCTACGGGAAAAAATATAAAACACACTCTCTATCTCACTCTCTCTCTCTCTTTGTATGATAATACATTCAAGCCATTAATTTGCTTTAAAAGAACATACCTGTGCTCCTGTAGGCAATAAAAAAATTACCACCGTAGTAAACTATGAAATTCCCATTCACGGTTTTCTTTTACGATGAAATTTCGATTTTAACTGAATCTGAAAATGACAAAAAAAAAATTTATTAAAATTTTTCAATTGTGACCATGAAAATAATAATAATAATAATATTGTTATTAGAAAGAGAGAGACACAATAGTTAGGAAATATTTTGACGGAAGTGGAAACGAGGAAACAAAAATTGAAGGTCAATCGAAGTTATTTTTAATATTTTTCATGTGAATTTAAAAAAAAAAAAAAAAAAGAAAATTAATAAATAAATTACACGGAAACGCTCGCACAAACAAACTCACACACGCACTTACGCACACGCACACGCATCCGTTTATTACATTTTACATGCGTTCTTACGTAAAATATAAATAAAATGAAAAATTAATAATTTTTAACAATTATAAACCTTTTGTTTTGTTTAAAAAAAAAAAAAACTCGCGCTTGCACACACACACACGCACACACACGCACACGCACATGCATACACACACATACACGAGCGCGCGTTTTTCGGGTGTTTTCACCTTTTTTTTTGAATATATATATTCAAATGAGTTTTTTAACCGCACCGAATTAATTTATTTTATTTTATTTTATTTTACGACCTTTTTACGTTTGTTTTCCTCCTTTTCATTATTTTCATTATTTAGTAAAAAAAAAAAAAAAAAATTCTCGAAAGCAGACATTTTTTTTGTCGTGTTTTGTTGGTCAGTACCCAAAAGACAAAAAAAAAATTTTTTTTTTTTATTTAAAACGAATCCAGTACACCTGCGCTACATTTTCTTTTTTTTAAATAATTTATGTGTATTAATATTTGTATCGCATATCCTTTTCCGGTTCGTTAATTTTTTTTACTAATGTTTAGGAAGCAAAAAGTGCAATAGCTGCAATGAACGGAAGATGGCTTGGAAGTCGAAGTATTCGAACGAATTGGGCAACAAGAAAACCTTCCATCATCAAAGCCGACGGTGAGTTCAAACCATCGAAGATGTGATTTTTTTTTTCGAAGAAGAAGAAGAAATAAAATATTATTATTTGATTTTTAGGTAATACGTTACCTTTGTCATTCGATGAAGTTTATAAACAAACGAGCGCGACAAATTGTACCGTTTATTGCGGAGGAATAACGAATGGCCTTACGGAAGAGCTTGTTCAAAAACATTTTTCACCCTACGGCACCATTCAAGAAATAAAAGTATTCAAAGACAAAGGATACGCTTTCGTAAGGTGAAGAACAAGAGTGCGAACGAATAAAATAAAAATTTCCTGTACTTTCGTGGTCACAAAATGAAAAATTTTCTTTTCTTTTAGGTTTTCGACGAAAGAATCCGCGGCTCATGCAATCGTAGCTGTTCATAACACGGAAATAAACGGACAAACGGTAAAATGTTCTTGGGGTAAAGAAAATTCGGATATGACGGCCATACAACCAACGGGTTTCGATCAACCTGTGGCAGGCACTGCTTTTCCTTATGCATACGGTCAACAAATGGGTTACTGGTATCCCCAAAGTTATCCTTCGGCTACGCCTCAAATACCCGGTCAATATATTCAAAGTGGATTTTCATTGGGTCAATTCGGTTATCATCATCAAGATTTCATAGGGTAAAAATACGAAATGATCGCAATTGCCTTCGAATCAAGTTTACGAATATACGAATCTTCCGCCATTTTTTTTTCTTTTTTTTTTATTTTAAAAAAAAAAGTTTGCCTACTCATTCGAATAATAATAATAATAAAAATATAAACGTTAACGAGCGCTAAATTTTTTAAATAAACTTTTATCCAAGAAAAAAAAAAAAAAAGTTTAAAAGCCTACAGAGTAACAATATACATTAAATCATTGCAGTTCAACGAGTTTATCGCTTTATAAATTTTTCTTTTTTTTCTTCTTCTTCTTTTTCTTCTGCTGCTTTTTTTTATCCTTTTTAAATTATTGCCTAATGAATTGAAGAATTTTATCAATGCTCTCTCTCTCTCTCTCTTTCCCCGACAAATTTTTTTTTTCTTTCCTTAACTCTCCCCATTCGTTTTGCTTTCATTTTTTTTTTATTCGCATCGCTCAAACGCAAAAATTTATTTATTTTTTGCAGAAGACTTAGTATGAATTTATCATCGATATGGAACAACGTGCCAGGTCATACTCAACTTCCGGGTGCCGTACAACATATCGGTCAAGGAACTGCTGCAGCCATACCCCAACCGAACGGTGTTGTGGCTGCATATCCGGTACAACGTTTTCAAGTCAGTTCACATTCATAATAGTGTTTACAAAAAATTAAAAAAAAAATCTACACAATTAAAATAAAATCGATGCAAAAACAGACATAAATAAATAAATAAAAACAACGAACTAATAGATAAAAAAATTTTTTTCCAGTTACCTGAAGATCTCGTCGGCTCCGATTTTACTAGTTTGATGGTAGCGCCGTGACTCTTTATTCTTAAGAATTAATAATAATAATAATAATAATAATAATAAATTCCACAAAATGTGTATATTTTATAAATATTTATAGACATACGAAATTAGATAAAGTAAATTAAATAACGATGATAACAATCTTAATAATAATAATAATAATAATAATAGAAATATATCATAAGTTAAAAATATAAATTTTTTAAGTTACGTTTACGATCTACAAAAAAAAAAAAATTGTACCTTTCGTACGTGTCATTAGAATGTTTTTTTTTTTGTATTCGTCGTATTATTATTATTATTATTATAAGAAATAAATAAATAAATAAAATAATAATAAGTTCGGTGGTAAAACTTCGAAATATCTATCAACGTATATATATAAAAATTTAGTCATCATTTCCTTCTTTCCTTTTTTCCTTTTCCTCCCCCTCCCCCCATTTAAATTAAATAAACATGCCTTAATAGAAAAAAAATATATATATAAAAAATTATAAATTTATTTAGAAAAACAAACAAACAAAATCGTATACAAACGGGAGCAAAAAAAATTGTAGTGATTAATATTTAAAAAAAAAGAAAAAAAATTTTTTTTATGTTTTCCCTTTTGCTTTTGTAAAAAAAAAAAAAAGCATCAATCAATCACTTTATAAATAAATAATGTTGATAACGTATCTATTTACACGACGAATCCATAAAAAAATTATTAAGTTATTAAAAAATATATCAACGATTCATACTCGAAAAAATTATTATGAACAATTCAAATTTTTTTTTTTTTTTGTAAACGTTAACTCTTAAACTCTCTTTTCAAATCGAAACAGTATTTAAAAAAAATAAAAAAATACATAAATACATAGATACATAAAAAAAAATGTCGTATATAATAATAGTACTATATGAAAAAATAATTAATAAAATAAATTTTTGTTTTTAAATAAAAACGTAATGATAAGTTCTTTGGGAAAAAAAAAACAAAATTTACAAAGATAATCAATTAATTATTATTATCATTATTATTATTAATATTATTTATTAATTAAAAGACTCTTAAAAGGTAAAGCGACTCGTTGAATATGGTTCAGTGTCTAAATTTATCGATGTTGATGTATATGTGTATATATAAATATAAAAATTATGTAAAAAAAAAAAGCGATAAAGTGACGTCACACTTAAAACAATTCATTTTTTTGTTTTATGTTTTAAACGTTGGTTTTTAAACCAATATAAATTGTTTAAATAAAATTTTATGTTTTTTTTTTCTTTAAACAAAAAAAAAAAAAAACACAAAAAAATTATTATTATTATATTTTATCAAAGTATATATATACATAACAAAAAAGAAGTTTTTAAAATAAATAAATAAATAAATAAATGAGAATATTTATTCATTTTGAAAAATAAAAATGGTTAATTTATTATCAATGATTATCAATAACTTTTTTTTTTATTTATTATTTATTTTATTTTTATTTATAAAAATAAATGATTTTGTTAAAAAGCTTGTAAAAAATTAATTAATTTAATGATCTAGTCAATAATAATAATAATTATAATAATTATTTGCTATAATATTATTATGTAATTTAGAATAATTTAATAAATTATATATATATATATATATATAAATATGAAAATGAATATAAATAAATATAAAACAAAAGTATTTTATAAAAATCATATATACAACATGTATTATTTGATAATTTAAAAAAAAAAAAAGGCAAAATAATCTCATCAATTGTTAATAATAATAATTATTATTATTGAATGTTGGCTTCTTTTGATAATAAATAAATAATAATAATAATGATACTAAAAAAATTTTTGTTTGCAATAAATATTATTTGAATAAATATATATATAGATTAATAAATGATGGTGCACAGTTATTAGTTATGTAAATGCAAAAAAAAAATAATTAAGAAGTCAATTGATTATTCTTAATGTATTGTAATTTTAAATTGAAAATATAAATTTATAAGTATATATACATATATGAAATGAAATGTTGACTTTAAAATACTTTTTTTCACTTATTTTTCTTATTGAATTATCAACAAATACTATTGTTTTAGTATTTGGTTACTGTATTACTTTGTTTTAAAGGCAAATTTAAAATAAAAAGGAAAAAATTTTTAACATGTGGTGAGAAAGCTATGGAAGCAATATAATTTTTCACCATGGAATTTTAGGTTTGTTAAAATTTATAGATTTACTGTTGGAAATGAATTGGAAAAGATTAAAATATTGTTGCTTACTTACATATAATTTGATTCACGATGAAAAAACCATTTAAACACTTCACTCTTTGATTAAAACAAAAAAAATTTAACTCACAAATGAAAGTAACGTACATTTTTTCAAAATTTTAACGTACACTATGAAAAGGAAAGAGATATTGGCAACACTGCGTCGGTAATTTCAAATAACTTACTCTATTACCGTCTCGTCTTGTGACACTTTTATACATTGAAATATTTTGTTTACTTAAAACTATAGAAAAATGACAGCGAGTTCAAATGGTAATGGAACTCTTGTGGATGAGTTCGAAGAAGCTTTTCAGGTATAAAATTAAATTTTATATAACTAATCCGTTGTCTTTTTGTTGATAAATAGGTACAAGATTATTTTTAATAAAACGAAAATATTGTGTCCTGTTTAGGTTAGAGTACAAACTACTTAACAAACTGTACATGTAAATTAAACAAGTTTTTGAAAGTTATTTAAGACAGTGCCAATTTAAGGTTTTGGGACGATAATTATTAAAGATTTAAAGATAATTATAAACGTCTTAACGTATATATTTTCTTTTCTAGTCATGTTTAAATGTATTAACCAAAGAGGGAGCACTCCCAACAATGGACAAAGATGAAATTAGTGTTGATGTTGATCACACAATATTAAAATTCATAGATTTAGCAAGACAATTAGAAGCATTTTTTTTACAAAAAAGATTTTTATTGTCTGCTTTGAAACCTGAAAGTGTCGTTAAGGAAGATATTAACGATTTAAGAGCTGAATTGAATAGAAAAGATGAATTGATCAAACGTCATTATGAGAAAATATCAGCCTGGCAAACACTTTTAGCTGATTTACAAGTTCAAAGTTGGGCTAAATCTCCTGCTCAGGGTTCTTCGAATACTCCTTTAGCTGGTACTCCTACTGGTGCACCTACTTCATCTCCAAATATTCCACCTCCTCAAAATTTAACACCTAACATGCAACAACAACTTCAACAACAACATTTACAACAACAGCAGCAACATCAACAACAACAACATCAACAACAGCAGCAACAACAACAATTGCAACAAATGCAACAGCAACAACAACAACAACAGCAGCAGCAACAACAACAACAGCAACAACAGCAGCAACAACAACAAATTCAACATCATCTACAACAACAAATGGGTCCAGGAGGTGGTGGTGGTCCTGGAATGGTTCCACAACAAGCAATGTTCATTCCACAATCAGGAAACCCCAGATTTCCAGTTCAAGGACCAGGTAAAATAAATTTATATTCTTAAACATACTTTTAACATCAATCTCATTACTACTATTATTATTATTTTGTAATTATACATAAATAAATTATAAGGTGGTATGCTTCAAGGACCGCTCGCATATTTAGAGAAAACTACGAGCAATATTGGAATGCCCGATGGAAGAAGGTGACGGGGGCGTGGACGAGGGAGGGGACCCGGTAGAGGACGAGGCAGAGGCCGTGGAAGAGGCAGAGGTGGTGAACTGTCTTATTTATCTACTCCTTAAACTTGAAATTTATAAAAAAAAAAAAAAAATTGTTCCTTTTGCTCTATTCATTATAGTGCAACACATTTTATTATTATTATTATTATTATTTGTTTTCAATATAATTTTGTAAAAAAAAGAATTAAAAAAAAAGAAAAAAAAAAGTTATTATTATAATTTTCATTTTATATTTATTTAAAAATTATTATTATTATTATTATAATCATTATTGTGTTTGAAAAAAAATTATACAAGAGCATTTTTTATCATTGCATTTGGTTAACGTCTACTTTTTACGACAATGTTGTTGTGTAAATATTTTGGCATGCCAAACTACTCCCCCCCTCTTTTTTTTAAATGATAATACGACGGACGAATGCTGTTGTAAGACATGTAAAACTTCTTTAATATATAAAAAAAAAATATTTCAAAACGAAAAAAAATTTTGTGTTGTTAATTTTTTCCACCGTCTCCATTTCTCCCACATCCTTTTCTTTTTTTTTTTTTTTTGAATAAATTTCGACTCGAATAAACCATCTAGAATTTAACATCTCGATTTTAAAAATTCAATCAACGTTCTCGTCGGTCTACCCGTCATTCCTTTTCTTAAATAAGGATTATCTAAAGAAGGCCCCATGACTCCGGCGATATCCAAATGCATCCAATCGACGGGTGGTACGAATTCTTTTAAAAAAGCCGCCGCCGAACACGCTCCTCCCGCAGAACTTTTACCGATGTTCGTTAAATCGACCATATGTGAACTTTTCAATTGTTTCCCGTAGCTTTTCCATAAGGGTAATCGCCAAACGCGATCTCCCGTGTACCTTCCAGCTTCTTCGAGTTGTTTCCACAGAGAATTTGAATTGGTAAAAACTCCGGTGGCTTCGCCGCCCAATGCTATCATCATGGCTCCTGTAAAATATAATTTTTATTAATAAAAATTTTTAACGGAAAACTCCATTAACAAATCCTGTCATTACCTGTCAGAGTTGCGACGTCGACGATGAATTCAGGTTTTAATGTACTCGCGTAATGAAGTGCGTCGGCTAATATTAATCTTCCTTCTGCATCCGTGTTATCGATTCTAACCGTTTTTCCATTCATTGCTTTTATTATGTCTCCAGGTTTGTTCGCTATGCTACCCGGCATGTTTTCGCATAGCGGAATCAAAGCTAAACAACCAATTAAATAAATATACCGTACAACAAATCGTAAAATTTTATAATTATTTACTTACTTGTGACGTTGATCGGAAGATTTAATTTTGCTATTCCGTATGTTGTTGCGAGTACGCTTGCGGCACCGCCTTTATCTCCTCTCATATCCAACATACCCGATGCAGTTTTCAAATTAACGCCACCGGTGTCAAAGGTTATACCTTTCCCTACGGAAAAAAAATTTAATTAATTTAAAAGAAATGAAAATAAGTTAGAAAAAAAAAAAATCATTCGTTACCAAATTTAATAATTACCTACTAAAACAATCGGTGAGCTTTCGGCTGATTTTCCAGTGTATTTGATTTCTAAAAATGTCGGGGGTTCTCCAGAACCTTTTGAAACGCTAAGAAAGGTATTCATTTTTTGACTTTCTATCCATTTTTTATCGTGAACCGTGACGTTAACAGATTTAACACCTTCGAATAATTTTTTGGCATTTTCGGAGAAAATGGTCGGTGTCATGAGATTCGCGGGTGCATCGGCAAACCTTCTGGCGATGTTTTGTGCTTCTCCTTTCACGACACCGATTTTCCATTGGTCGTCCCTGTTTGATAAAAAACAAATTTTTGTTTTTCCCCGTTTGAACATCAATTTTATCCATTTTTTAATCATCTACCCACTTGTCGTTACATCCTCCAGTGTAAAGTTTAACTTTAGGTACTTTTAATTTATCCATTTCGTTTTTATGTTCGTCGTAACACCATAATTTCAAAGTGACACCTTCGGCTGCTGCTTCGGCATCTTGAAAACCATCCACTTCGATTTCGTCGACTTTTAAATTTTGCAATGCATGTGCTCCATCTGATAATAATAAATTTACATTAAAATTTTTTTTTCGTTCACTTTTTCGGGGGGGGGGAGGGGGGGAATTATTTACCTGCAGCTGCTATCCTTATTCTTTCTTTTAAATTATTCAATCCTTCGGATTCATCTTCTTCTTGGTTTGGTTTTTTTAATCCGACAACTGCAACCGCCGAATAATCATCGGATAAATCGTAGAATAATTTTACTTTTGTCAAATCCAAATTATTTCCTACGACTCTAAAAAAAAAAAAATTAAAAGATAATTTTTTCCAATCTCTTTTCTAGAAAATTCTCAGTAAACAATATTCTAAAAAAAAGAAAAAAAAAATTTACTCAACTTTTAAACAAAAAGAAAAAAAAAACTTATTATTCACATAATTTTTTTTTTTTTTTAAATTTTAATAAATAAATAAAAACGTTCGCCATTTTTTAAAATATTTTTTTTCGTAAAAATAATAATAATTTATTTCCGTTTTTTTTTTCTTTTTTTTTTTTTTTTTTTGAATTATTTACATTTAAAAATAAAATTTAATTTATGAACAAACAAATTTAAAATACTTTTCGTAACACGTATCTATATATATATATATAATATTATCCCTACCCAATTTTAATTATTTTTTTTTTTTTATTACGGTAATTAATTATTTTTCGAAATTAAAATTAAAAAAAAAAATGAAAGACGTGATAATAATTATTATTATTCCAATTGTTCGTTACTTTTCATTTCCGTCGGGTTTTTTTTTTTTTTTCTTTTCATCGTTTCCGGAATCTACTACTACTACTACACGTCAACAAAAAAATTGAAAAGAAAATTTTAATTGTAAGACTAAGAAAAAAATTTAATAAAATGTCGTTCTGGTCTTTTTTTTTTCTAACCAAAAAAGAAGATGCGTTAATTTAAACTTTTTTTTTTGTTTTTTAAAAATCTCTAATTAATCGATAATAACGATTAATTCGATTATCTCGAATCTAAAATTCTAAATTCTAATTATTTTTCAATCATCAATCTACCATCAACGCAAAAAAAATTTTCCTTTTTTAATTTAAATGAAATTACGAGAGGATCGATTGATTGATCGATTGATCGATCGATCGATCCCAACTGTTTTTTGGGAGAATTTTAAAAACAATTTCTGTGATTTGATTATCACCACGCATTATCGTGTCTTGTAAATTTTTATTTAGGGAGGGAAAAAGCGATGGGGGGGGGGTAGTTTCGTTATGACGTCGTCTTTGAGATCACGAAAAATTCAATTTTTCCTAGCGATTTTAAACGAGTTCCAATATTTTAATTATTCCCTGACTGTTGGCAGCGACGACAACGTTCGATTGTTGTCTCCAACAAACGGCCGAAACAAATTCGTTTGCATCGTCTTCCTTGCTGCTTTTTTCCAACACGCTGCGAACGGTGTCGAATTTAAAATTGAAAAGTTGTTTTGTAACTCCTTTGTAGTAGACGTACAATGAATTGTTTTCCGAACCGCAAGCAACGTAATCTCCATCCGTGGCCAATCCGACGAAATTTTTTTCGTTTATGTGTCCCACGAAAGACCTTAAACAGTGAGACTGATTAACGTTCCACATTTTCAATTGGGAATCCGTGGATGCTGAAACAATGTCTTCCTTGTTTAAAAATTTCACGTAGGACACGGCTTTCCTGTGACCCTTGAACACGGACAGAGCCTCTTTCATTTTTCTCAAATCGTAGTAGTGAACGCAATGATCGGCAGAGCCGAAAGCGAGATTGTAACTGCTGCAGGGATTGAATTTGACGCAGCAAACGTTTGCTTTGGCTTCGAGTGATGCCACAGAATGATCATTATTCAAATCCCAGAGCTTGACTCTCGCGTCGTCCGATCCCGATGCGATCAATCTCGTGTCGACATTATTGAAATCCACGCTCCAACAACGTTTTTCGTGTTCTTGAAATGTTTTAGTTCTTTGACCGGTGGTCACGTCCCAAACGGTTATCGTACCCTCGTAGTCGCTGCTAGCAAGAGTTCCTTTGTGGTAAAAATTCCAACTCACGCATGAGATTTTCGACGTCGAAGTCATTTCCAAACACGGATAATGTATGTCCACCATGTCTCGTATCACCGACCCGTAATCGTAGATTTTAATGAGTTTTGTCACTCCGGCTATGGCAAAAAATTCATTGTCTTTGTCAAATTCAATGCTCGACACAATTGTCGAATTGTTAAATATGTCACTAGAATAATTTAATACGGCTAACGGACGAAGACAATTGTATCTTGAAAATTTAACTAAGTTCTCGCGGAAAACGTTCAATCCAGATTCTGAACCAGAACTGTCTGGAACGGATTTTTCATTCTGATCGATACCGAACAATAATTCTTTTGCCCTTGCAGAAAAATAACATTGTACGAAATCGTCAAAATGAGCGTGCATTCTTTTTCTTCGATTGGCTAAATTCGACGTTATGTTTTCTATATTTTTTTTTGATGAAAAATAACCATCGTTTGTGAAATTTTTATCGGTAACACTTTTCATGTCGCTATCGACCGTGTCCGATGTGATCATATTTGATTTTGATATTTCTATATTTTTTAATATGCTCTCAACTTCTTCCATGTCTTTTTGTATCAAGGCAACTTCTCTCGTCAACTGTTTTAATTTTTCTTCTCTTTGTTGTCGCAAATGTTTTAAAAATTCATACAATAGCTCGTTTTGAGCCGTGCAAGTTTCAGCTTCTAAAATGCATTTCCTTTGATTTAACACTTCAAGCATAACATTAACATCTGGCAATGATAAATTTTGAGAGCCGGAAGTAACAAAATCTCTTAAACCGTTGGTGTGTACTCTTTCTTGAGAATTTAAAGCTTGACTAAGTTCTTGAGCAAATAACTTAGTTTTGTGCTTTGAAACTAAATCGTTAAGTAAAAAATTTGGAAAAATGTCAGTTACTCTCGTGCTGACACCACATCTTGGACACTGCGGTTTTTCTACAAGGGCTTTCGTTATGCAACTATAGCAATATGTATGACCACAACGAGTGATGTGAGCTTCTTCGATTAATTCAAAACAAATTGGACAAAGATAATCACTACTGACTTCTTCATTAGATTCATTAACACCATTAAGAGAAGATTGATGGCTTTGTTTGAAAGATTGAGAACGATGGGATGCAGAGCCTGAGCGCAGGCTATGAGGTGATGCACTATTTCTTCCAGATGCCATTTTTACATATTCATTTTTTGTCTGACCTGAAACAGTGAAAGAAAATTAAGTTATTTATTTTAAAAAAAGACTTATTTAATGTCAAAAAAACAATATTTATAAAATAAACTGTTTCAGGTCTGACTGTGAAATATGTAAAGAAGCATTGATTTATTTTTATAATAAAAATTTGACATGAAATATTTATAGACACGACTAATTTTCATTATGGGTTCGAAAAACTTCACAGAGTAGAACTTAACAATTTATTATCATTTCATTAATATCTTTTAAAATATTAATTATAAATAAAAATTTTAAAATAGTTTTTATTTATTCTTACCTGTCCAGCAGAGTACTCAGCCTCCCGCAAACTGCAGTGTTAAAAGAATCAGCTCCTTCGGTTAAAGTATAATGTTGAGGTTTATCTACGTAACAACCAAGAACTAAAGCTTTCTAAAAAAAAAAAAAAAAATTAAATTAATTCCGGTTAACTTAAATCAAATGCTTTTCCCTTAAATAATTTAAACATTTAAAATAAGCATAAAATTTTTATTGAAGTGAAAAATGAAAAACAAAATCTCATAATGAAGGGATAGTAAAAATTCCGATTTCAAATATTAATAATACACCTCATATTTTATTTAAACGAAAAAAATAATTTGTTAATTATTATTACCTTCTTACTATCGGACTTATTAAAACTATATAATCTTGTGTTCAAATAATGATATTTGCAAAAATTTTTTCCAAAACCCATACGTACGAAAGCCATTTTACGTGCGAATAGGCATTGAAAAACATAGAACATTTGAAAATGTATTACATGATTTTCTTCTATGAAAAAAATTTTACCGCCAATATTTATTGAATTTACACAAACGATTTTGTTTTTTTGAATTTCTCCGAAAACTGATTTGCGAATTGGTTAATTATCATTTTTCACAAAATGAATAGTAAGTTAAGAATAAATATTACTCTATTTTAATGATTCATAAAAAAAATTTCATTTATTCTTTTGTTATTTTAATTGTTTAAAAATTTTTTGCAGCTAACCTAAACTGGTCAATTGAACATTATGAAGAAAATGTTAATGAATGCAATTCAATATTGAACTCTTTAGAAAATTATAATGGCATTCCTTGCATCAATTACTTACCTTTACAAAGTTTTGGAGATGGTACTTTGGTTAGGTATAGAGGAATGATACAAGATATGCTGAATCCGGAATTTTATGCTCCAACTTATTCCATTTTAAATACTCAAGACAATAAAACTTATCAAAGATCAGGAAAATTTAGAGATATTCCATCTTGCAAAGTAATTTCGATTTAACGTGTGAAGAATGACTCGTTAATTTTTTACTTTTAATCAATTTGAATTTGATTTTTAGGCTAATGAAGAATTTAAAAATGATGAATCGGAAGTTTTGCCTAAAGAAAGACAAGTATTATTTTGTATTCCTGTACCTGGAAGCAATGAGTGGGTCGAAAAAGTATCCTTTGTATAATTTTTAATTATTATTTAAAAGTGTTTAATTTATATTAAAGAAAAAAAGTTTAAAGTTTTTAAAAATAATTTTCATAAAATGTTATTTCATGAAAAAAACGAATAGTTTCTTAACAGTGTGATAAGTATTTAAAACAAAAATGTACCAATCAACATTTACCTATCGAGCAAAAGTCATTAAAACAAAAAAGAGAAGCAGAAAACAGTGATGATGAAATGGAAGTTGATCCTGATAATACAGAAACTACAACATCACCTGCAGCAATGAAAAAAATTAAAACCGCTGAAAATTTGAATGAATCGAATTCTCAAAATAGCACACATAATCTGACAAAATATTTCCCTTTTCAAATTCAAGAAGGGACACCATGTTTGATAAAAGTTTACGATGAACCAGATAAAACAAATTTTATTTTAAATGATGTTATAGAAGTTGTGGGATTTTTAAGTTTAAATCCAATGCTTGAAGCTAACTGGGAAGACACTGATGCTGAAGACAAGGCAATTCATCCTCCACCATCGTTAGTTCCCAGAATCCACGCCATATTTGTTAAAAAACAATCACACTGTAATCCTCTAGTTGATAAAATGAATCCTGGTGGTCAGTTTTCAAAGAAAAAATTATTTAATTTATTTTAATTGTAGTAGTTAAAGGTTAACAATTTATTATTATTATTATTTTCAGAAAACTTCAATGAGTTAATTAATAGTGCAAGAAGTGATTTGCATTTAATATTCACACAACTTTTATTCGAAGATTCTGTCGCTGCTGATTATTTATTATGTCATTTGATATCGAGAGTTTATGTTAGAAATGAAGGGCAAGTAATTGGAAAATTTAGTCTTAATTTACACAATATAAAAATTAAAAACTTTGCATCTTATTTAAATGAAATAATAAAATTGATTGTGACAAACAGTCATTACATTCCTTTAACAATTCAGTTGTTAAATGAATCTTGTTTTACACCCAAGTAAGTTTCGCTGTTGGAAAATTTTTTTTAAATTTATTTTTGATTAAATTATCAAAAAAAAAAAAAAATGACATTTTTCAGAAAAGACTACGAATCGAACAGATTATGGAGTGGAATTTTACAATTGGCCGACGGCACACATTTAATAATAAACGAAACGAGTATGGATGAAGGACAACTTAACAATCAGGGATGTCTTAATGTGATGGCTCTTCAAAAATTATTTCGTCAGCAAGAAATCCAATATGATTTCGGGTACTATTCGGTTGATTACAATGCAAATCTTCCGTTACTCGTTTTGTCCGAAGGGAAATCCATGTTTGACGTCGACATAAAATTAAAAGTTAAAACGGATTTTATCGAAGAAGAAACAATGAAGGAATCGTACGAAGGTGTGCGGGCATACCTAAATGAAAAAATATCGGATAAATTAAGAATTTATTTAACACGGGTTAAGCTTATGGATTTCGAATTGGGAGAAGATATGGTTAAAAAAATCGGACAAGATTACGTGTCAATGAGACAGAAAAACGAAAAAGTTAATTCTTCCGACTTACACACGTTGCTTGTCCTATCGAGATTATTGGCTTTAAGTCATGGGAGAACGACACTGACAACCGATGACTGGTCAAGAGCAGTTGAAATGGAATCAGAAAGAAAACTAAGAACAAGTTGATTTCAACAAAATATATATGTCACTTTTTTCTTGGACATTTTATGGTGAATAATGGAAATTATTATCATTTAAACATTGTGTTATCATTCATTTGTGTATATCACGATTAATAATACTACAATCGTAAAAAAATGTAAACAAGAATCAAAAAAAAAATTATGAATATAATATGTTGAATTTTTTTTGTTTATCGTTTGTAGTATTATATATGTAGTAAGTTTTCTTTTGACCTACTTATAAAAAAAAAGTGGGGAATGGGGGAATGGGGGAGGGGGGACACATAAAAGGAATTCAAAAAATTTTATTTTTTATTATTTTTTTTTTTTTTTTATTGAAAGATTTAAAAATTTTTATTTAAAGATTTTAATTGAGCAATGTAAAATTTTTTTTTTTTTTTTTTTTTTTGAAAATTATTAATATCAATTTTTATGTTAAATATTTTGATGGACAATCACTACAATATTTATAATTACAATGAATGTACAATCCTCGATATAATTAATTTACGAATAATTTAGGTTTTTAGGTGTCTTTTTCCATTTTGATTATGTTGAATACGTTTAACACACATTTTAAAAAAGGTTATACATAGCTACATATAACGTATAATTTTTAGTTTTTAACATAACTTGAAAAGGTTTTTTTTTTTTTTTTTCGTTGTTGTTATTGTTATTATTGTTTTTTTTTTTTTTTCTTTTTTTTTTAGCATTTAGGACATTTACTTTTCTTCTTCTTCTTACATTTGGGTTTTGGACAAGGTGGGGGACAAGGTGGGGGGCAACTTTGCGAGGTAGCTTGAGAACAATTTTTCTTTTTAGATTGTCTATGTAATTCTTGAGCTTTACATGCTGCAGCGAAGAAAGGTTGCTTTTCAGATTTCGACATTCTTCTCCATTTTTTAACGGCATACCGAACTACAACTGATCTTTTGCATCCTCTAAATTTTCTCCAGACGCACTAATAAATTTTAAAAATAAAAAAAGTAAAAAATTGTTTTCTCAGCCATTTTTTCTTCGGTTTGTTTACAAAACAATGTCACTAAAACTTTTTTTATTTTCTTCGGTATTTTTTTTTACAGGTACAGGAGATTAAAATAATAACGGATTGTTTCGTGTTAGAACAATTAGTAAATATTAAGTAAGAGAATAAATAAAAACAATCCAATGTTTGAATGAATGAATGAAGGAATGAATGATTTTAAAAAAATAGTGGGAAAGGGGGTGGGAAAAAAATGTTTCTCACCTTTAAAAAATGAAAAAATGGATTGATGCTTGGGAGCTTCTTTCGTTTTTTAGGACACATAGACCTTTTCTTTTTGGCACAACCTCCACAACCCATGTTGATAATAAATAAAAAAAAAAAAAAATTATTTTCTCACGAACTCGGTTTTTTTATAATTCAAAAATAAATAAATAAATAAATCACACAATAATTATTATTATTATTATTATTTATAAGTAATGAAATTTTCCGCACTGAAAATTTTGATATGCCAAAAAAATAAATATAAGAGGTTAAATAAAAAATTTAGATTCTAAAGTTTACAATACAAGCAAACTAGTTTATTGACGATAATATTTGTTTCTATGTTCATTTGTTACGACCATCGTTTTTTTTTACTTTTTCCTTTCTTTCTTTTTTTTTTTTTTAAATTTTTTTTTTTTTTTTTTTTTTACTTAACAATTAAATTTTTAAAATTTAAATTTTAAAATTAAAAAATAGAATTTATCAACATTTATACAATAGAGCTATCCTCCTGATTAATTTTATGCGTTTTTCTTTTTTTTTTTTCAGTGAATCGTTGTAACGTCACTTCCGGTTTGGTTTTGCGAGGAAGTATAATGACGGATGTTTTTCGTTAGTTGGTTCATGTGATCTGTATCGACTGGATTAGGAATGAAAATTTTTTTTTCGGTGAGTCGATTAAATTATTTTATTATTATTTATCGTTTGGGGATTTTTATTATTTTAACACGTGGAAAAAAAAAAAAAAACGTTCCCTCGCCCGGTATTATTATTATTATTTTTTTAAATTATATTTAAAAATCGATATGAATATTATTATTATTATTATTATTTAACAAAAAAAAAATTCTACGCATGTGTGCATAATTAAATTCATAATTCTAGAATAATTCGTGTCATCGGGTCATTTCCAGAGATTACATAATAAATGACGATCCTCGATTATCAATTTTTTTTCTTTTTTTTTCTCTCTCTCTCTCTCTATTAAAAAAAAAAAAAAAAAAAAATCTTCTCGCACACCTTTTACAGATTATGTACGTACCTTTTGTTCTCTTTTTCCCCCGCCCCCCACGCCACTACACCTTCGAATTCTTTTTTTGTTTATTCTCTAAATTTTGTTGAAAAATAATAAATAAGATACGTAATCACCCCCGACGTTGTAAATGTTCCAGAATCTCACGTCTTTGTCGTATTATCCCAGACAAATTTATATTCAAAATGACAGAATGAGAGAACGAACGAACATTTTTATTTCCTGCTGTGAAATTTTAAATTGATATCATTATCATCATCATTATCGGACAGAAAGGTTTCTTTTTTTTTTTATAAAAAAAAAAAAAACATTTGTTGGGATGTTGAAAGGTCGATTTGTCGTCATCATAATTATCATCATCGCAATCACAATCACCGCCGCTGGAATTCATTTTAAATATTTATATTAATAAGTCCGTTCAAATCAAACTAAAAGGTTCTCCATCATTTAACAAAAAATGAACCTGAAACGAGTCCTTCCGGCTTTTTCTCTCTCTCTCTCTCTCATCTTTATTTCATTATAATCGTTTTTTTTTGTTTATTCATCGATTTTGGGCGTGAAATTACTAAAGAGTAGAAAGAAGAAAAGAAAAAATTTGTTCAGTACCTGGATTAAGTAAAAAAAAAGGGGGAAGGGGTGAAACTGGGAGTTTGATCAGAATAGAGTAAAAAAATGGGAAAGGAGGATAGATGAATGGGACCCCGGACATCTTTCTCTTTCTCTCTCTCTCTAGAAATACGCAAGATGCGGGGGTAGTAAAGGGTGGGTAGGTGTGTCAGAAAGAGGAGTGGCGCGAAAGTAAAAGAATTTGAGATTTTTATATAAATTATTATTATTATTATTATTGACGCAATTTAAAATTGAAACGATCGCCACGACGATGACGTCTTAATCGACGTCTCTGACGACGAAATAATTTTTTTTTTTTTTTTTTTTTAGTTACGTGCTGTGAATTTTAAATTTAAAAAAAAAAAAATTGTTAACGTGACATCGAGCAAAAGGCAATATTATTATTAATGATAATAATAATAATAATAATAATAATAATAATAATAATAATGATAATTTTTCATTTTTTAAACGGTTGGATATTTATTATTTTAATGGAACGGGTTGTCAGGTGATTCGGCGTAGGCGAGGAAAAAAAAAAAAATTTTTTATTTTGACGAATCCGTAGGAAAAAAAAAAAAAATAATAATAATCGATAACTTTATTATTATTAATATTATCATTATCATCATTATTATCATCGCCATAATTTTAATAAATTTTAGTTAACGACGGAATGTGTGTGTGTGTGTATATATATATATATATAAAACTATTTGGGATTTACTATGATTACGTGACGTATTTTTTTTAAGGTATTTTCAGGGTTTTAGGTTTTAGTAAATAATAATAATAATAATTATTATTATTATTATTATTATTTGCCGATTTTTGGCACGTACGCGCGTACGTCGTCTATCCCTGCATTCACTTTGACGTAGACAAAATAATGATAATCTCTCTCGTTGTTTTATTATATATATATTAGGTTTATTCATTAAATTCCAGGAGGAGGATGTTTAAAAAGGTTACATGAAAACTTTACCTTTCGTTGCGCATGCGCGTGTGCGAAAATTTTAAAAGGAAAAAAAAAACTGTTTACCACCTGTTAAAATTTATTTTTATTTTTTATTTTTGTTTTTTTATTTTCGTTGGGGGAAAGAGGGCGCGGGCGTGTTTTTCGCTAAAGTTTTCGCCCCCGTTTTGTTTGGTTTTGTCCGATTTAAATCCCCTAAGTTTTTCCCCTTTAAAAAACCTTTTGTTTTGAAAAAAAAAAAAAAAAAAACGAATGATTTTTCTTTTTTTTTTTTACCTTATACCTTTCTATTTTTTTTTTTTTTTTTATTCAAAGATAAGGAGGGGGAAGGAAAAAAAATTATTCAAAACGTTAAAAAAAATATCTCTGTCTCTCTCTCTCTCTCTCTCTTTCTCTCTGATGAATTCTCGACGAATTTATCTGTGAAAACTGACTCGAATGGTAATAAGAAAAATTAAATGAGCCCCCTTAAACGTTGAATAAAAAAAAAAAAAAAAAAAAAAAAATTGAGGGGGTGGTACGAATGAAAAAGAAATTTTTATTTAGTACGATTCGAAGGATTCGAATTTTTTCTTTTAAAAAAAATATTTTTTTTGTTTTGTTTTTGTTCATTGTAGGCGTCGTCGTCGTCGTTGTTTGTTTGTTTGTTTGTTTTTGAAATTTTTAAAAAGCTTGAAAATAGTTGAGTACGGGATATATTATTATTATTTTCACTATCGAACGCGACATGATTTCTGTTTATTTGTTTGAGTTTTTCAGCATTTATTCCAGGTTTCTACCCGACGATTCCTTAGGGATAAATGCTCGAATTTCGTTGGTGCTATTTATAATATTTTCCGAAGAATGTGGGCCGTCCCACATAGTGCGATTTCCTGGATGGTTTCTTCTTTTAAGTTCTTCAAAATTTTCTTTAAATTTCCTTTTAATAAATGTGGCATGGCTCCCAGTGCTCCCACGATAACCGGAATAGTTTCTGACTTTACTCCCCACATGTTTGGTGTTTTTTTTCCGCCGGTACAGATACTTCAATTATCTTACACCATTTTTTGGAATTATGTCGCAGGATGATATCCGGTTTGTGTGCTTGAACAGTTCTGTCAATGTGAATTTGTTGTGTTGTTTGGATGTGGTTGCACC